ATAAGGAACACATACAAAGATGGCCTTGTAGTTCACCTACATACAGAAACACAAATAAATAAAGATGGCCTTGTAGCTCATTTTCATACATGAACACAAATATAAATGGCTGTGTAGCCAACCTTCATAAGGAACACAAACACAGATGGCCTTGTAGTTCACCTTCATAAGGAACACATACACAGATGGCCTTGTAGTTCACCTTCATGTAAGCAGGGTAAGGAATACAGAGAGTTTTTGATCTTCTATAGAGAGACTTTATTGTTCATTGTGGATGGATGAATCCATGTAACGAAAAACCTACAACAAAAGACAAGGCAGTTTGTAAGGACATGCCGAGATATATACTCATCAACAAATCATACCATAATTCAAATACAATAGACATGATAATTACTACTTATTGATGTTGACCAGCAAAAGTATTACATATGATCAATCAATAATATAACATCACACTTGACTTTTTGAACAATAGATGAAATGTACATGAACTGAGGTTGATCAATTAACATGGCTGAAAATATCAGTAACATTCAAACCAATCTCTACACATGAATCTTACTACCATACAAAATATCCTATATGAGACGTTTTACGCTTACAGAATGACAAAATGCAATTAATGTTAATAATTATGAAAAATAATGATGTACAGAACTGCCCCTTTAACTCACCCCCAGGAGACAAGAACACTCCTGTCAGCAGCGGTCAGTGGTCACATGACCCAGGGCACGGACCAACTAGCTAATATCAAACAATAATTATACTTAGTACAATAATAACCAACCGTTATTATGCAGTAAAACACAATATAATTCTAATAAAGGTGCCTAGAAATGGCATAGTTTATGAATATAATTGAGGAGAGGTACTCAGAGACATTTGTAAACAAAACACTGAACCAAGAGGGAAGGGAGGTAACTCTTTGCAATCATCACACACAAAGAAAAACTTGCTTGTTTCAACCCATAATGGTCATACAAAACTATTTTACAAATAACAACAATTTCAGTGAATGAATTACAATTCACTCGCAATAAAATATGTGTAAACAAATACTAGAACTACTAATACTCAACGGACATGGACTACACACAAGTTGTGGTGATGATGACCATCTCGCTTACACTTGAATGTTATGAATGAAATATTTCAAAATACAACCTTTCTAACACCTCTAACCTATTGTGAACATAAAAGCAAAACACTACGAACAAAGAGCATGTACTCACATTAAAACGGTTGTGACAAGCTGAAGGAACGATCGACTGTATACTCTGAAAACTTGGCTACATGTGAGAGGTGGTGGTGCGAAATGGAACAATAGCGAACTGCACTATGGGAAAAGATGTTACATCTTTTTACACCAAATGCCTAAAAGTTGGATTAACGTTAATGGAACATAACATTTTTAATGGTAAATAGATTAGAAAAATATATAATTCTAAATATGGGGTATTTGTTTGAGACATGAAATTTGTGTTTCCGACTACTTTTCGGAAACTTCGAAGATAGACGACATGAAAACAAAGGGCAAAACAAATGTGTATATAAACTCCCTTACATTCATAAGGAACACATACACAGATGGCCTTGTAGTTCACCTTCATAAGGAACACATACACAGATGGCCTTGTAGTTCACCTTCATAAGGAACACATACACAGATGGCCTTGTGGTTCACCTTCATAAGGAACACATACACAGATGGCCTTGTAGTTCACCTTCATAAGGAACACATACACAGATGGCCTTGTGGTTCACCTTCATAAGGAACACATACACATATGGCCTTGTAGTTCACCTTCATGAGGAACACATACACAGATGGCCTTGTAGTTCATCTTCATAAGGAACACATACACAGATGGCCTTGTGGTTCACCTTCATAAGGAACACATACACAGATGGCCTTGTAGTTCACCTTCATAAGGAACACATACACAGATGGCCTTGTAGTTCACCTTCATAAGGAACACATACACAGATGGCCTTGTGGTTCACCTTCATAAGGAACACATACACAGATGGCCTTGTGGTTCACCTTCATGAGGAACACATACACAGATGGCCTTGTAGTTCACCTTCATAAGGAACACATACACAGATGGCCTTGTGGTTCACCTTCATAAGGAACACATACAAAGATGGCCTTGTGGTTCACCTTCATAAGGAACACATACACAGATGGCCTTGTGGTTCACCTTCATAAGGAACACATACACAGATGGCCTTGTGGTTCACCTTCATAAGGAACACATACACAGATGGCCTTGTGGTTCACCTTCATAAGGAACACATACACAGATGGCCTTGTGGTTCACTTTCATAAGGAACACATACACAGATGGCCTTGTAGTTCACCTTCATAAGGAACACATACACAGATGGCCTTGTAGTTCACCTTCATAAGGAACACACACGTAGATGGCCTTGTAGTTCACCTTCATAAGGAACACATAAACAGATGGCCTTGTGGTTCACCTTCATAAGGAACACATACACAGATGGCCTTGTAGTTCACCTTCATAGAGAAACACCTTTTCAGTCGTCTTCTATATTTCTGAACTCTAGGCCAGAGGCCCGTAGTACATGTAAAAACAGTTATAATGGGTGAGTGGTACAAGCGCTTTTGCGTTTTAACAGTGCATGGTGTATAAACATGGCAATATTCTAAAGTAGCTCTCGTTTTTGGTTGACATTAGGAAACAGAATTTGTAAAATGTGTGACAGGACGTATACGTAGATGGTATATAATAGCTCCTTAGATTTTCATACTGGACAAATTAGAAGGACATGCAAGACAAATCTTATGGATAACAACTTCTTGATTTATTTTTCCAAACGTTTCTGGGCTAGTTCTTGCCCCTTCTTCAGGTGAATAATGGTGATGGTGAACAGTACAGTATATGTATAGATGTACAGGAAGCCAGATATGGAAATTGAGTATATATACAATGGAAGAAGGAGGTATAATTAAGTATGTACAAACAATGCAGTGAGATCAAAGAGCAGAATACAATGATAGGGTATGTTTTTACTGTAAGGGGCAAGAACTAGCCCAGAAACGTTGTGAAAATAAATCAAGTAGTTGTTATCCATAAGATTTGTCTTGTACTACAACACCAACTTCTAAATGCCTTTGAAGAATTTAGAAGGACATGGTATTCATCTTCAGTAATATCCCTGTCACACATTTTCCAGGATTGGTTCTCAGTAGCATGACATATTCTTTTAAAATACATAATAACCACATCGAAACTGCGATAACAACACTCTTAATTTCTTTATATTTACAACTGTTCAATACTTTTCACACATAAAATGTTGTTTCAACAAAGAAAACGAATATGAACTTTTTCCAGTTTGGATATATCTGGTCCACTCTTGCTCAAAGCAATCCTTACATCGTTGTTGAACAATGGATAAAACTCCCCAACTCCCTGTCTGACCCATGCATATCCAAGGCCAAGTTATAACAATGTATTTTTAATTAACATAGCCCAGTTATGTAATTTCTAGCCTCCCTTGCATTTTCAACCAAATACAGTAACATCTTATAGGCTTTTAAGGGATAGCGGTGAGGACGCATTAAGATGACTTTCAACCAATATAAAAAGAACGCTTCTGTGCCAAGATATAGATTGGGTATCTTCCGCATTCACCTAATACAATATCACTAGTTGTTAATCTGTGGATGCCCAGGAAACGTTTCCATGCTTGCAACTGTATATTTCAATGCTGTTAAACCTTTGAATACCCCATACCTCAGAACCATACAATAGAAAGTGTCAAAGATTTTCAAACTTAAAGGTCACGTGCAACGTAAAACACAACTTTGCAGATTCTGATACCTTTCGGTATGGACTTACCGAAACAAATCATCAAAAATGCAAATTCAACTTATATAGTTGAAAAATAACGCGATGAAAAAAACCGTGCGAAATCGGAGTTCAACAGATTCATTAATTTTCTCCCGACTTTTCGGGGGAAAACTGGTTTCAACAGCTGGGATGCGCTCATAGCACGTGCGCAGTGAAATAGGTTCGCGCAACTTGGAAGCGGGCTGTCCGGTGAATACTCGGTGAAGGCTTTGGTGTGAGCTATTTTCCTAATGTTTTGTTGATATCTCACAGGCGCGAGCTTTATATATGTTATGACAGTAAATAAACTGTTTATATAATTTCATTTGTATATTTCACCACACATTCTTCTTACCGAGACACTTTCTCAGTTCGATACTTAAAAGCAATGTCATTATTTAGTGTTGACACAATTTCTAACTGTGATATAGATATGTCGTTGTCACAGACAAAACTCAATGTCTTGTTTTATTGACACCTGTGTGTCTGCCTGCCTGTCTGCTAATGACAATATTCAATACACAACTGCGATCACTGACCACATGCAATTTGAACTTAACACCAATCAGGCTATACACCATAAACAAAACGCATTGATTTATGGCCCGAGTTCGGTCTCTGTCACATTATGTAATTACACAGACAGGCAGGTGTGATGCTTGAACACATGACATGTTATGATGTATGTTGATTGCAAAATGTTATACACAAAAAATGAGTATTTACAAAACCCAACATCTCTATATATACACACACAATGAGCCGTGAGGGAATCTGCAAATGAAACAGACGTTACACTTGAGTGCACACCCACCCGCTCTGACTGGGTTTGGTATCCCGGCTGCTTCGTTTCTTGGGAAGTAAACCCAAGTACACAATATTGCACTTTTGATTTGCGATTGTACGCTTATAATTTTGTTTATATGTTTTTTCATAACCAGCAATGTATATTATATGTCATTAATAAGTGATAATTGTGTTTTAATTATGTTTGATTTTTTGGTTGCATGTGACCTTTAAACAAACTATGCTGAACAGTTGTGAGAGCCTTCTTAGCTTTAAGAGTCAGACTGTTTATAGATGCCTGCCAGGTGAGACTTCTAGTAAATAGCATACCAAGGTATTTGTATGATGATGAAACTTTACTTGGAGCAAGTTTGTAGATCCACATTTCCGTTCTAGAAAGTCTGCCCCCGTGTTTAAATACAACAATACAATAATTTACTTGGAGACACCATGTTTCACATAGAGAAACACAAACATGGTCATGTAGTTCACCTTCATAGAGGAACACATACAAAGGTGACCTTGTAGCCCACCTTCATAGAGAAACACAAACATGGCCATGTAGTTCACCTTCATAGAGGAACACATACAAAGATGACCTTGTAGCAATCCTTCATAGAGAAACACAAACATGGCCATGTACCTCACCTTTATACAGAAACACAAACAAAGATGGCCTTGTAGCTTAACTTCATACAAAAACACAAACAAATAAAACATTGCAAATAAACAAATATAGATGTCCTTGTAGTTCACTTTCCGACAGGAACACAAACAAAAATCGCCTTGTAGCCCACCTTCGTACAGAAACACAAACAAATAATGATGGCCTTGTAGCTCACCTTCATACAGAAACACAAACAAATAAAGATAGCCTTGTAGCCCACCTTCATACAGAAACACAAACAAATAAAGATGGCCTTGTAGTTCACCTACATACAGGAACACAAACAAATAAAGATGGCCTTGTAGCCCACCTTCGTACAGAAACACAAACAACTAAAGATGGCCTTGTAGCCCACCTTCATACAGAAACACAAACAAACAAAGATGGCCTTGTAGCCCACCTTCATACAGAAACACAAACAAACAAAGATGGCCTTGTAGCCCACCTTCATACAGAAACACAAACAAATAAAGATGGCCTTGTAGCCCACCTTCATACAGAAACACAAACAACTAAAGATGGCCTTGTAGCCCACCTTCATACAGAAACACAAACAAATAATGATGGCCTTGTAGCCCACCTTCGTACAGAAACACAAACAAATAAAGATGGCCTTGTAGCTCACCTTCATACAGAAACACAAACAAATAAAGATAGCCTTGTAGCCCACCTTCATACAGAAACACAAACAAATAAAGTTAGCCTTGTAGCCCACCTTTGTACAGAAACACAAACTAATAAAGATGGCCTTGTGGCCCACCTTCATACAGAAACACAAACAAATAAAGTTAGCCTTGTAGCCCACCTTCGTACAGAAACACAAACAAATAAAGTTAGCCTTGTAGCCCACCTTCGTATGACAGAAACACAAACTAATAAAGATGGCCTTGTAGCCCACCTTCATACAGAAACACAAACAAACAAAGATGGCCTTGTAGCCCACCTTCATACAGAAACACAAACAAACAAAGATGGCCTTGTAGCCCACCTTCATACAGGAACACAAACAGATGAAGATGGCCTTGTAGTTCACCTTCGTACAGAAACACAAACAAACAAAGATGGCCTTGTAGCCCACCTTCATACAGAAACACAAACAAACAAAGATGGCCTTGTAGCCCACCTTCATACAGAAACACAAACAAACAAAGATGGCCTTGTAGCCCACCTTCATACAGAAACACAAACAGATGAAGATGGCCTTGTAGTTCACCTACATACAGAAACACAAACAAATAAAGATGGCCTTGTAGCCCACCTTCATACAGAAACACAAACAACTAAAGATGGCCTTGTAGCCCACCTTCATACAGAAACACAAACAAATAATGATGGCCTTGTAGCCCACCTTCGTACAGAAACACAAACAAATAAAGTTAGCCTTGTAGCCCACCTTCGTACAGAAACACAAACAAATAAAGTTAGCCTTGTAGCCCACCTTTGTACAGAAACACAAACTAATAAAGATGGCCTTGTGGCCCACCTTCATACAGAAACATAAACAAACAAATAATGATGGCCTTGTAGCTCACCTTCATACAGAAACACAAACAAATAATGATGGCCTTGTAGCCCACCTTCATACAGAAACACAAACAAATAAAGATGGCCTTGTAGCTCACCTTCATACAGAAACACAAACAAATAAAGATGGCCTTGTAGCCCACCTTCATACAGAAACACAAGCAAATAAAGATGGCCTTGTAGCCCACCTTCATACAGAAACACAAACAAATAAAGATAGCCTTGTAGCTCACTTTCATACATTAACACAAACAAATAATGATGGCCTTGTAGCCCACCTTCATACAGAAACACAAACAAATAAAGATGGCCTTGTAGCCCACCTTCATACAGAAACACAAGCAAATAAAGATGGGCTTGTAGCCCACCTTCATACAGAAACACAAACAAATAAAGATAGCCTTGTAGCTCACTTTCATACATTAACACAAACAAATAATGATGGCCTTGTAGCCCACCTTCATACAGAAACACAAACAAATAATGATAGCCTTGTAGCCCACCTTCATACAGAAACACAAACAAATAAAGATGGCCTTGTAGCTCACTTTCATACAGGAACACAAATAATGATAGCCTTGTAGCCCACCTTCATACAGGAACACAAACAAATAAAAATGGCCTTGTAGCTCACTTTCATACAGGAACACAAATAATGATAGCCTTGTAGCCCACCTTCATACAGGAACACAAACAGATAAAGATGGCCTTGTAGCTCACCTTCATAAAGGAACACAAATAATGATAGGCTTGTAGCTCACCTTCATAAAGGAACACAAACAGATAAAGTTGGCCTTGTAGCTCGCCTTTGTACAGGAACACAAACAGATAAAGATGGCCTTGTAGCTCACCTTCATAAAGGAACACAAATAATGATAGGCTTGTAGCTCACCTTCATAAAGGAACACAAATAATGATAGGCTTGTAGCTCACCTTCATAAAGGAACACAAACAGATAAAGATGACTTTGTAGCTCGCCTTCATACAGAGACACATATACAGATTACTCACAGGGCTTTACATGATTTGTACTTATCCTATTTATGTTCCAGACTGTACGTACGCAACTGCGTCCATGTTGTGAAGTATCTCTTGGGTACAAGACAGAGTTGACTGATGTGGTTCCACTGGATGGTGTGACATTCAACCAGGTGGACTGTATCAGCCTACAGGCTGGAGGAGATCCCATCTGTCTTAAGAAGTAAGCCAACCCTTTGTTCATTCATACACCGTCATAGGATAGTAGGCACTGAAATACTGAACCCCAAATTGTCTGTGTGGTTAGGTTTTCTATGTAGATAGACATCACTGAAGCTAAGGAATATTTGTTCTTGTAAGATCTTTGGCTGATGTTTTTCATGAGTTTCATCAATCTCTCCAAGCATTCTGTTAACATGACATACGTTATTGATCTCACCAAGCCCTCAGCTGACATGACACACGTTATCTATCTCTCCAGACCCTCAGTTGACATGACACATGTTATCTATCTCACCAGGCCCTCAGTTGACATGACACACGTTATCTATCTCTCCCGCCCCTCAGTTGACATGACACACGTTATCTATCTCTCCCGGCCCTCAGTTGACATGACACACGTTATCTATCTCTCCCGGCCCTCAGTTGACATGACACACGTTATCTATCTCTCCAGACCCTCAGTTGACATGACACATGTTATCTATCTCACCAGGCCCTCAGTTGACATGACACACGTTATCTATCTCTCCAGGACCTCAGTTGACATGAAACATGTTATCTATCTCTTCAAGCCCTCAGTTGACATGACACACGTTATCCATCTCTCCCGCCCCTCAGTTGACATGACACACGTTATCTAGCTCTCCAGGACCTCAGTTGACATGACACACGTTATGTATCTCTCCCGCCCCTCAGTTGACATGACACACGTTATCTATCTCTCCAGGCCCTCAGTTGACATGACACACGCTATCTATCTCTCCAGGACCTCAGTTGACATGACACACGTTATCTATCTCTCCCGCCCCTCAGTTTACATGACACACGTTATCTATCTGTCCCGGCCCTCAGTTGACATGACGCACGTTATCTATCTCTCCCGCCCTCAGTTGACATGACACACGTTATCTATCTCTCAGGCCCTCAGTTGACATGACACACGCTATCTATCTCTCCCGCCCCTCAGTTGACATGACACACGTTATCTAGCTCTCCAGGACCTCAGTTGACATGACACACGTTATCTATCTCTCCTGCCCCTCAGTTGACATGACACATGTTATCTGTCTCTCCCGCCCCTCAGTTGACATGACATACGTTATCTATCTCTCCAGGCCCTCAGTTGACATGACACACGTTATCTATCTCTCCTGGACCTCAGTTGACATGACACATGTTATCTATCTCACCAAGTCCTCAGTTGAGATGTCACACGTTATCTATCTCTCCAGGACCTCAGTTGACATGACAGACGTTATCTATCTCTCCCGCCCATCAGTTGACATGACACATGTTATCTATCTCACCAAGTCCTTAGTTGACATGACACAGGTTATCTGTCTCTCCCGCCCCTCAGTTGACATGCCACACGTTATCTATCTCTCCAGGCCCTCAGTTGACATGACACACGTTATCTATCTCTCCGCCCTCAGTTGACATGACACACGCTTATCTATCTCTCCCGCCCTCAGTTGACATGACACATCGTTATCTATCTCTCCCGGCCCTCCGTTGACATGACACATGTTATCTAATCTCACCAAGTCCTCAGTTGACATGACACACGTTATCTATCTCTCCAGGCCCTCAGTTGACATGACACACGTTATCTATCTCTCCCGCCCCTCAGTTGACATGACACACGTTATCTATCTCTCCCACCCCTCAGTTGACACGACACATGTTATCTGTCTCTCCCGGCCCTCAGTTGACATGACACACGTTATCTATTTCACCAAGTCCTCAGTTGACATGACACATGTTATCTATCTCTCCGCCCTCAGTTGACATGCTACACACGTTATCTATCTCTCCGCCCCTTAGTTGACATGACACACGTTATCTATTTCTCCGGCCCTCAGTTGACATGACACATGTTATCTGTCTCCGGCCCTCAGTTGACATGACACCGTTATCTATCTCACCAAGTCCTCAGTTGACATGACACATGGTATCTATCTCTCCGCCCTCAGTTGACATGACAATACGTTATCTATCTCTCCAGGCCCTCAGTTGACATGACACACGTTATCTATCTCTCCCGGCCCTCAGTTGACATGACACACGTTATCTATCTCTCCAGGACCTCAGTTGACATGACACATGTTATCTATCTCACCAAGTCCTCAGTTGACATGACACACGTTATCTATCTCTCCCGCCCCTCAGTTGACATGACACACGTTATCTATCTCTCCAGGACCTCAGTTGACATGACAGACGTTATCTATCTCTCCCGCCCATCAGTTGACATGACACATGTTATCTATCTCACCAAGTCCTTAGTTGACATGACACAGGTTATCTGTCTCTCCCGCCCCTCAGTTGACATGCCACACGTTATCTATCTCTCCAGGCCCTCAGTTGACATGACACACGTTATCTATCTCTCCAGCCCTCAGTTGACATGACCTGACATGCATTATCTATCTCTCCCGCCCTCAGTTGACATGACACGTTATCTATCTCTCCGCCCCTCAGTTGACATGACACACGTTATCTATCTCTCCAGGACCTCAGTTGACATGACAGACGTTATCTATCTCTCCCGCCCATCAGTTGACATGACACATGTTATCTATCTCACCAAGTCCTTAGTTGACATGACACAGGTTATCTGTCTCTCCCGCCCCTCAGTTGACATGCCACACGTTATCTATCTCTCCAGGCCCTCAGTTGACATGACACATGTTATCTATCTCTCCAGGTCCCTCAGCTGACATGACACATGTTATCTATCTCTCCAGGCCATCAGTTGACATTACACATGCGAGCTTTCTGGCCATCCTATCTGTACTCAGGAAACATTCTGTACCTGTCCCTATTTTCTGTACTCTTTAATTTTTTCTTATCCTGACACATGTTCTTTTGCTTATCTCCCTTTCCCTTGCGAATGGTAGTAGAACACTTGAATCCCTTGAAGTTCCCGAAGCGGAAGTAAAAAAAATACTACCCGACTTACCACCCTTTTGCCCTTTCAGCAAACAGTCATATGGCGAGCTTTTACTTTGTCACTTCTCCCTTTTAAGCCCAAGTGCATGGTTGGGCGAGCACTGGAGTGCCGTATACGGCATTATATCCTTTTTTTTTAGGTCCTATTCTTCAAAATTATGCTGTGTATGGATTTGGCAATAACTACTATGTGTTATATGTAAAAAAATTGTAAAAATTATTTGTATTGTGTCATAATTTCATCGTTATGTTACTTTGTTTACATTTCATGAAATCTTGCAGTGTTTGCAGGCACAGGTTATCTGTGGCTGATCCTCACCCCCAATGCCTTTCGTGCATAAAACCATAAAAACACCAAGAAAAAGACGTCGCAGAAGATAGCATCTGTTACCAGATCGGAGGGTAAATCTACGCGGCCTAGTAAGTCAACGCATCAAAAATCCTTCAACAAAGAGATACTACCTCCACATGAAGTAGACGTTTTTGATGATCCCCCATTACTTCCACCCGAAGTACCTTTGAGATCAGCGACGCAATCGACTTCCACGACTACTAGATTGTCTCCTGCAACGGTCACAGCAGGCCAGCTGTTTGACGAACTACCACCTACCTCTCATCGCAGTGAAGTCGAGGCACACAACTCATCAGCGTTCACGAACGCTTCTTCTACACCGCAGCAGCTTCAATCAACACAGAATTTTGATCCAGGTGAATTTATGAAACATGATGGCTATGATGGAACGTAGGTTCGAGGAAGAAGTGAAGGCTCGGCAAAGCCTCTCATCTACTGACACCGTGCGCAAACCTACGGACCTGTGAGAACCTACTTCTCATAGAAATATGTTTCCAGACTATGTTGGCGAACGTACACCTTTGCGAAGGTCTCCACAGTCTCCACAGTCTGTCATCTTGGAGGGAATAGAAGACATGAGATGCCTACTCACCGTTCTTCATCTGCGAACCCTCAACGTTCAAGAACATCGAAGGAACCATCTCCTACACCTAGCCGTTCTAGGTGTTTTTTTTCGCTTCCCACATCCACCCAGCACCCCCGCACATGCCCAAAGGCCAAAACCGCACCCAAATCCACCCATATCTCACAGACGTTCGCGAAGTCACTCATCACGAGACAGAGGTTCGCTAAGAAAAGGCTCACATCACAGAGGTTCATGAAGCGATACATTTAGCGACAGAGGTTCGCGAAGAGAAGGCTCATGTCACAGAGGTTTGCGAAGAGATGAATCCACAGATAGAGGTTCGCGAAGAGAGGACTCTCAAGATAGTCGTTCGCGAAGGGAGGAATCTTCAGTTCACGAAAGGATGATGGAGGTTCGAGAAGGGATACAGGTTCTCAGATGGATGATTCGCGGAGGCATAGCTCTACCGATCAGGAGATAATTGATGAACAACCAGACTTCTTCTTCCCGGACTCAGAGGTTACAGCTTGGATAGCCAATGGTTTGAACTTGGAGTCTCCTCCTTAGGATATAGATGAAGTCTACACTTATAAGATGTGTAATGACGACTTTGACTCGGTGACTCTTCCTCCGATGGAACCTATATCCAGGTACCTTCTTACCTTCGCACAGCTTTGAGAAAGCTGCAGACATCTACAAGGTTCGAGAACTCTCAGATCTACAGGCAGATAACAGAAATGCAGACATCTACAGGGTTCGCGAACCCTAGGGTTAACAAACCCTTACATCAACAGGCAGGATGTTGACGTCGACTCTATTACCATAAGGCTGAATAAAACGATGTTTATTTTGGAAGTTGTCGCTGATAAAAGTCGGTATGAGTACCTGTCCCCTGCGATGCTACGCAGGCTTGCTGTAATGAGTGAGTGAGTTTAGTTTTATGCCGCTTTTCCAGCCTTGCTATAAATAGACAACGCTTCGATGTATGCTGTTCAACACAGATCGCCTGCGTATATAAGGGGAAGAATGATGTATCATCACTGCAATCAGAGTTTAGCACTTCCAATGGAACGCCCTACCGTTTGGAATATCATTGGCTCTATGATTATTCATACGAATAACCAAACCTATCGGCACCTATCTGCAGCATCGAGGTCTACGCAGTACCGGTTATCTGGACGACGGCATACAGGTTCTTCAAAGTGCCAATCAACTCAGACAGCAGCTGAACTTCACAATTAAGTTGCTCACGTAACTATGATGGCTAGTGAACCTGATGAAGTTGGAGTTAGAATCAAACAAGATCTTCAATTGCTGGGAATAAGAATTATCACAACACAGAATCGAATTGTGGTCCCAGAAGATCATTGGGTCAAGATACAAGCCATGATTCCACCAGCAGCCATCTCTCCGTTAACATTACGAACATGGCAATGTCTACTCGGTCTACTCAGTCTACTAACCTCGGCACAGGACTTGACTGGAAGGTTACAACTAAGGCTGCTGCAACGGTTCCTGACAAAACATCTGGACAGTGTTGACCCTATCTTACTGCCAGACAATCTTAAGAGGTACCTACTTTGGTGGACCCAGCAGTCGAACGTCTGCGGAGGGACCTATTTACAAGAGCCGGCCTTTGACACATATCTCTGCGTAGACGCATCGATACAAGGTTGTGGTGCACATCTCAACAATCAAGTTGCATCAAGGAAGTGATCCAAAATAGAGCAGCATCTTCACATGGAGATGAAAGCTGTCATCAATGCCTTACAACTATGGTCGAGCTCGCCGATCAACAGAATGCTGATGGTCCAAACGGACAACTCTACAGTGGCATTCTCCATAAATCGGCAAGGATCTACAAGATCACCAAGCCTACATCAGTTCTCATTCCAGTTGTTTGACATCACGGAGGAGGCAAACATGTGGATAAAGGCATGTCACACACAGGCCCTCGTATCTTTGCGAGATTTAATTATTAAAAAAATATCGTTTTTGAGATGACCCCCGACTCTAAATGCTTCACAGTACAATACATCATGACGAGGCCGGACACTTCGGTGCACCCCACCCGACTGCTTTGAGGGCTTGCTTCGACCACACCCTCGTTTGTGCAGATATATCGTCAGCCATTTGTGTCAAGATCGTTTAGTTGTGAGTCAAAATCGGGTTTCAATCAACTTGCAGGAATAACAATAAAGAAATGGTAGGTGTCATGGGTGGTGCTTGATAGGCCAATCATCCATGATTATGTTTCCATAAAGTTTTAATTGATTGCATGCGATGGTAGCGTAGTGATCGGCAAAGCAGTCGGGTGGGGTGCACCGAAGTGTCCGGCCTTTTGATAATGTCTTATACTGTGAAGCATTTCGAGTCGGGGGTCATCTCAAATTTTTGTATATATTTAATTAAATATTTAATCCTCGCAAAGAGACGAGGGCCTGTGGTGTCACATACCCAGAGCCAAGAATGTGCTTGCAGACGCTCTCTCCCAACCACTGCACCCGTCACCTATGGTATGGATACTCCATCCAGAAGCATTTCGGCTCATCATAAGGGAAATAGGATCCCCTTGCATAGACCTGTTTGCCATGAGGTTCAACAAACAACTACATACGTTTGTCTCACCAGTTCCAGATCCTCAAGCCTGGGCAACAGATGCACTGAGCATATCTTGGGAAGGACTAAACACTTACGCGTTTCCACCCCCTATATTACTTCCGGAAGTACTGTTGAAGGTCAAACAGACACAGGCGCTACAACTGACTTTGGTCGCGCCATACTGGCCAGTGAGAGTATGGTTCCTAGACCTAATAGAAGATCTCGGAAGTCCAACAATCATGTTACCAGATTGGCCGAACCTACTCATACATCCAAGACACCAAGCAAGTCCACGGAAACCCGACAGCGTTCAAGCTACACATGTGGACCGTATCAAAACATGTTTGAAGAAAAGAGGATACTCCGCCAGGGCAGCCAAGGCAGTAACGCTAGCGTTATGCAGATCTACTCGTTACCTGTATAATGACAAGTGGCTGAAGTTTGAGACTTATGCAAGGCGGAAAGGCTTCATTGCGATGAAAGCTACTCATCCTCAAGTGGCGGAATATCGGTGTCATCTTAGATTGACCAGGCATCTGAAAGGTTTGACATCATCTACATACCTCGTGCCATCAGTACAGTGATTACCATGAAAACAGGCATCAAGTTGACAAAAGTACCAGAATTACTTGCTCTGCTGAGATCTTTTAAACTGGAGGACCAGCAAAAGAAGTTCAGAGCTCCAGCCTGGGATCTGAATGTAATTCTACGTCATCTTATGAGTGATGCCTACGAACCTCTAGACAAGACTACCCTCGAGCTGCTGACACAGAACACTCTGTTCCCGCATATCAGAGATACATGCGCTGGACTTTGGTCGAACCAGATTCAAAACGGGGCAACATGCTGCAGTTCATCTAGGACTTAGATGAGACCTCATTGCCAAGAACCAACTACCTGGCCAGCTAGATAGACAGTTCCACATACCAGCGCTATCTACAATCCTCAGACCAGAGGATATAGAGGACTTATCCTTGTGTCCGGTCAGATCCCTGAAGATATATCTTCAAAAGACTAAGACAAGGAGATTAAAATTCAAGTGCCTGTTCATCCCATTATCCACAGAGACATCAGCAGAAGTCTCAAGAATGACAATATTATTCTGGATGAGCGCTGTCATATTGAGAGCCTATAAAGCAGCAGGACTAGAACCTCCTAGAGCTTCAAACCCACATGAAGTCAGAGCACTGGCGTCAACACTGGCTCTGCATGGAAATTGCTCTATATCTGCAATTATGGAGGGCTGCTTTTGGAAGTCGGAAACGGTGTTTGCCAACCACTACCTCCGAGACATAGCCACTGAAGACGTCTCAGGCATTCACCAATTTTGGCCTCTCGTTGTAGCACAGCAACTAACGGTTCCTCAAAGGCGCTGAGTTTCAAAATCTCACCCTTCATCACGTTGACTTGTTGATAACTTTTACTAAGGAAAAGTATTAGTTTGAAAGTTCATGCGCACAGTCTAGGACAGGCTAGCATGAGTGATTAAAGATCCTGTACGGGTAAAGATCTTACCTGTACGTGAAGGGTTGGCAACTCATTTATGATAAAGATCTTATCATAATCTATGGGTTGTTATAAGATATCTAGTAATAAGAAGATACTAGTTTATCTGTAGCCACATGAATCAACATGATTCAACTTGTCTGAGACTGAAGTATGACAAGAAAGAGGTCCCCCCGAGTTATAACGGAAGTTTGAAGAATAGGATCACGGAAATGCCGTTTCGCAGTTCCCATGGGGGGATTGCAGGACATATCTAAGGACAGCTGATGAATCCACGAAGTGGCTTGACCCACCACCAATCTGTCAGATTCTATAAGCAAAGATCATGAGTCAGGATTAGAAAAATATGTAATTTTTCAAGTAAAATTGATATTTTTATACTTATCCTGACTCATGACGAGAAGCCCTCCCAACATCCCCGCTGGAAACACTTCGGATTTCACAGCAGATCCAAGTGCATGGGCAGAAAAATCAGGAGAGAGTGACAGGTAAGGCTGGTCACATGACTGTTTTTGCGCGGGAAAGGGCAAAAGGGAGGTAACTCGTGGGTGAGTGTATTTTTACGTCCGCTTCGGGAACTTGAAGGGATTCAAGTGTACCATTCGCAAGGGAAAGGGAGATAAGCAAAAGATTACTAGTCAGGATAAGTATAAAAATATCAATTTTACTCAAAAATGTAATTTTTCACCAAAGCAACAGTGTCTTATAAATGGCGCTGGTGAATTTCAAGGCATCCAGTAATGTAGACCTAATTGAATTTCCTGGTTCCCATGGTCCTCTGTGCTTGTTTCCAGACAGAATGATACATCAGGCGCCCTGGTCCAGGTGTTTCCAGGTCCAGCTGTGATTGTTCCTGAGCAGAACAAACTGAAGGACTACAACAAAAAATCGGATTTCCCAAAGACCCATCAGCTGAGGCAGGGCGACACGATCTCCTTAACTCTCCATGAAATACAGGTACTCCTGCTCACCACATGACGGTTCAGATAAGGCAGGTGTTTCCTGTTCTTTGTTGACTGTTGTATGTTTAGGCAGGTGTTTCCTCTTCTTTGTTGACTGTTTTATGTGTAGCCAGGTGTTTCCTCTTCTTTGTTGACTGCTGTATGTTTAGCCAGGTGTTTCCTCTTCTTTGTTGACTGTTGTATGTGTAGCCAGGTGTTTCCTCTTCTTTGTTGACTGCTGTATGTGTAGCCAGGTGTTTCCTCTTCTTTGTTGACTGTTTTATGTGTAGCCAGGTGTTTCCTCTTGTTGTTGACTGTTGTATGTGTAGCCAGGTGTTTCCTCTTCTTTGTTGACTGTTTTATGTGTAGCCAGGTGTTTCCTCTTCTTTGTTGACTGTTGTATGTGTAGCCAGGTGTTTCCTCTTCTTTGTTGACTGTTTTATGTGTAGCCAGGTGTTTCCTCTTCTTTGTTGACTGCTGTATGTGTAGCCAGGTGTTTCCTCTTCTTTGTTGACTGCTGTATGTGTAGCCAGGTGTTTCCTCTTCTTTGTTGACTGTTTTATGTGTAGCCAGGTGTTTCCTCATCTTTGTTGACTGCTGTATGTGTAGCCAGGTGTTTCCTCTTCTTTGTTGACTGCTGTATGTGTAGCCAGGTGTTTCCTCTTGTTGTGGACTGTTGTATGTGTAGCCAGGTGTTTCCTGTTCTTTGTTGACTGCTGTATGTGTAGCCAGGTGTTTCCTCTTCTTTGTTGACTGCTGTATGTTTAGCCAGGTGTTTCCTCTTCTTTGTTGACTGTTTTATGTGTAGCCAGGTGTTTCCTCTTCTTTGTTGACTGTTGTATGTTGTATGTTTAGGCAGGTGTTTCCCCTTCTTCGTTGATTGCTGTATGTGTAGCCAGGTGTTTCCTCTTCTTGTTGACTGTTGTATGTGTAGCCAGGTGTTTCCTGTTCTTTGTTGACTGCTGTATGTTTAGCCAGGTGTTTCCTCTTCTTTGTTGACTGTTTTATGTGTAGCCAGGTGTTTCCTCTTCTTTGTTGACTGTTGTATGTTGTATGTTTAGGCAGGTGTTTCCTCTTCTTTGTTGATTGCTGTATGTGTAGCCAGGTGTTTCCTCTTCTTGTTGACTATTGTATGTGTAGCCAGGTGTTTCCTCTTCTTTGTTGACTGTTGTATGTGTAGCCAGGTGTTTCCTCTTGTTGTTGACTGTTGTATGTGTAGCCAGGTGTTTCCTCTTGTTGTTGACTGTTGTATGTGTAGCCAGGTGTTTCCTCTTGTTGTTGACTGTTGTATGTGTAGCCAGGTGTTTCCTCTTCTTGTTGACTGTTGTATGTTTAGGCAGCTCTTTCCTTTTCTTTGTTGACTGCTGTATGTGTAGCCAGGTGTTTCCTCTTCTTGTTGACTGTTGTATGTTAAGGCAGGTGTTTCCTCTTCTTTGTTGACTGCTGTATGTTTAGGCAGGTTATTCCTGTTCCATGGTTGTGTAAGTATATAGCTTGATTCCTATTCCTTGTTACCTACAGAGAAAGTCTGCTCAGCAGCAGGACCTGGATGTGGATGATGAGGAGGTCCTGGAGATAAAACCAGTTTACCACACTCTAATCTGCCGGGAAGGTCGTGTCTGGCATGACACAGGTATTGTGTGGTGAGTGCAGTTCTGTGGGTGGTGTTACACAGGTATTGTGTGGTAAGTGTATTTCTGTGGGTTGTGTTACACAGGTATTGTGTGGTGACTGTATTTCTGTGGGTGGTGTTACACAGGTATTGTGTGGTAAGTGTATTTCTGTGGGTTGTGTTACACAGGTATTGTGTGGTGAGTGTAGCTCTGTGGGTGGTGTCACACAGGTATTGTGTGGTGAGTGTAGCTCTGTGGGTGGTGTAACACAGGTATTGTGTGGTGAGTGCAGTTCTGTGGGTGGTGTTACACAGGTATTGTATGGTGAGTGCAGTTCTAAGGTTGGTGTAACACAGGTATTGTATGGTGAGTGCAGTTCTGTGGGTGGTGTTACACAGGTATTGTGTGGTGAGTGTATTTCTGTGGGTGGTGTGACAGAGGTATTGTGTGGTGAGTGTAGCTCTGTGGGTGGTGTTACACAGGAATTGTGTGGTGAGTGCAGTTCTGTGAGTGGTGTAACACAGGTATTGTGTGGTGAGTGCAGTTCTGTGGGTGGTGTTACACAGGTATTGTGTGGTGAGTGTATTTCTGTGGGTGGTGTGACAGAGGTATTGTGTGGTGAGTGCAGTTCTGTGGGTGGTGTAACACAGGTATTGTGTGGTGAGTGTAGCTCTGTGGGTGGTGTAACACAGGTATTGTGTGGTCAGTGCAGTTCTTTGGTTGGTGTGACAGAAGTATTGTGTGGTGAGTGTATTTCTGTGGGTCGTGTCACACAGGTATTGTGTGGTGAGTGTAGCTCTGTGGGTGGTGTGACACAGGTATTGTGTGGTGAGTGTAGCTCTGTGGGTGGTGTGACACAGGTATTGTGTGGTGAGTGTAGCTCTGTGGGTCGTGTCACACAGGTATTGTGTGGTGAGTGTAGCTCTGTGGGTGGTGTGACAGAGGTATGGTATGGTGAGTGTAGCTCTGTGGGTCGTGTCACACAGGTATTGTATGGTGAGTGTAGCTCTGTGGGTGGTGTGACAGAGGTATGGTATGGTGAGTGTAGCTCTGTGGGTCGTGTCACACAGGTATTGTGTGGTGAGTGTAGCTCTGTGGGTAGTGTGACAGAGGTATTGTGTGGTGAGTGTAGCTCTGTGGGTCGTGTGACAGAGGTATAGTGTGGTGAGTGTAGCTCTGTGGGTCGTGTCACACAGGTATTTTGATGTATGTTAGTCCACTGAGTTCATTTCTCTAAGTGACATGACTGCTTAGGTCGGTGCTGTGAGTTATGTTTTTGTATTCCAGCTATGATTCCACATCTTCAGCAATTCCTGTTGCACAGTTTATAGCTACACGACCGCTGACCGCTGAATGCAGCCAATTCTCCTTTGGTAGGTAACATTGTGTTAGCCGTAAAATGTAATCATTTCTCTCTTTTAAGGAAGACATTGTATGGGCCTTATCGCAGGCCATACAATGGAGGAAGTTCTCCGCCAGTAAGTAACAATTGCCTTTCCAATCAGTGCATTCCTTCTCTAAGTAGCATTGCCATTCCAGTTTGTACAGTGCAAGTCAGTAACATTGTTCCCAAGTCCATGCAATACATTGACCTAGCCTCTGCAAGGCAGCAACATCTCCCTTGTAGATTACATTACCCTGACCTATAGAAAGTAGCAAGATCTCGGTTGTAGGTAACATTGCCCTAGCCTCTACAAAGCAGCAAGATCTCCCATGTAGGTGACATTGCCCTAGGCTCTACAAAGAAGCAAGATCTCCCTTGTTGGTAATATTGCCCTAGCCCCAACAAAGCATCAAGATCTTCTTTGTAGGAAACATTAGCCTAGCCTCTACAAAGCAGCAAGATCTCCCATGTATGTGACATTGCCCTAGGTGCTACAAAGCAGCAAGATCTCCCTTGTAGATGACTTTGCCCTAGCCTATACAAAGCAGCAAGATCTCCCTTGTAAATGACATTGCCCTAGCCTCTACAAAGCAGCAAGATCTCCCTTGCAGATGACATTGCCGTAGGCTCTACAAAGCAGCAAGATCTCCCTTGTAGGTGACATTGCCCTAGCCTCTACAAAGCAGCAAGATCTCCCATGTAGGTGACATTGCCCTAGCCTCTACGAAGCAGCAAGATCTCCCATGTAGGTGACATTGCCCTAGCCTCTACAAAGCAGCAAGATCTCCCATGTAGGTGACATTGCCCTAGCCTCTGGCCAAAGCAGCAAGATCTCCCATGTATGTAACATTGCCCTGGCCTCTACAAAGCATCAAGATCTCCCTTGTGGGTGACATTGCCCTAGCCTCTACAAAGCATCAAGATCTCCCTTGTAGGTGACATTGCCCTAGCCTCTACAAAGCAGCAAGATCTCCCATGTAGGTGACATTGCCCCAGCCTCTACAAAGCAGCAAAATCTCCCATGTAGGTGACATTGCCCTAGCCTCTACAAAGCAGCAAGATCTCCCATGTATGTAACATTGCCCTGGCCTCTACAAAGCATCAAGATCTCCCTTTGTAGGTGACATTGCCCTAGCCTCTACAAAGCAGCAAGATCTCCCTTGTAGGTGACATTGACCTAGCCTCTACAAAGCAGCAAAATCTCCCATGTAGGTGACATTGTCCTAGCCTCTACAAAGCATCAAGATCTCCCATGTAGGTGACATTGCCCTAGCCTCTACAAAGCAGCAAGATCTCCCTTGTAGGTGACATTGCCCTAGCCTCTACAAAGCATCAAGATCTCCCATGTAGGTGACATTGCCCTAGCCTCTACAAAGCAGCAAGATCTCCCTTTGTAGGTGACATTGCCCCAGCCTCTACAAAGCAGCAAAATCTCCCATGTAGGTGACATTGCCCTAGCCTCTACAAAGCAGCAAGATCTCCCATGTAGGTGACATTGCCCTAGCCTCTACAAAGCAGCAAGATCTCCCATGTATGTAACATTGCCCTGGCCTCTACAAAGCATCAAGATCTCCCTTGTAGGTGACATTGCCCTAGCCTCTACAAAGCATCAAGATCTCCCTTGTAGGTGACATTGCCCTAGCCTCTACAAAGCAGCAAGATCTCCCATGTAGGTGACATTGCCCTAGCCTCTACAAAGCAGCAAAATCTCCCATGTAGGTGACATTGCCCTAGCCTCTACAAAGCAGCAAGATCTCCCATGTATGTAACATTGCCCTGGCCTCTACAAAGCATCAAGATCTCCCTTGTAGGTGACATTGCCCTAGCCTCTACAAAGCAGCAAGATCTCCCTTGTAGGTGACATTGACCTAGCCTCTACAAAGCAGCAAAATCTCCCATGTAGGTGACATTGTCCTAGCCTCTACAAAGCATCAAGATCTCCCATGTAGGTGACATTGCCCTAGCCTCTACAAAGCAGCAAGATCTCCCTTGTAGGTGACATTGCCCTAGCCTCTACAAAGCATCAAGATCTCCCATGTAGGTGACATTGCCCTAGCCTCTACAAAGCAGCAAGATCTCCCTTGTAGGTGACATTGCCCTAGCCTCTACAAAGCAGCAAAATCTCCCATGTAGGTGACATTGCCCTAGCCTCTACAAAGCAGCAAGATCTCCCTTGTAGGTGACATTGCCCTAGCCTCTAATGAAGCAGCAAGATCTCCCATGCATGTAACATTGCCCTGGCCTCTACAAAGCAGCAAGATCTCCCTTGTAGGTGACATTGCCCCTAGCCTCTACAAAGCAGCAAAATCTCCCATGTAGGTGACATTGCCCTAGCCTCTACAAAGCAGCAAGATCTCCCATGTAGGTGACATTGCCCTAGCCTCTACGAAGCAGCAAGATCTCCCATGTATGTAACATTACCCTGGCCTCTACAAAGCAGCAAGATCTCCCTTGTAGATGACATTGCCCTAGCCTCTACGAAGCAGCAAGATCTCCCATGTAGACGACATTGCCCTAGCCTCTACAAAGCAGCAAGATCTCCCTTGTAGATGACATTGCCCTAGCCTCTACAAAGCAGCAAGATCTCCCTTGTAGATGGCATTGCCCTAGCCTCTACAAAGCATCAAGATCTCCCTTGTAGGTGACATTGCCCTAGGCTCTACAAAGCAGCAAAATCTCCCTTGTTGGTAATATTGCCCTAGGCTCTACAAAGCATCAAGATCTTCCTTGTAGGAAGCATTAGCCTAGCCTCCAGAAAGCAGCAAGATCTCCCTTGTAGATGACATTGCCCTAGCCTCTACGAAGCAGCAAGATCTCCCTTGTAGATGACATTGCCCTAGCCTCTACAAAGCAGCAAGATCTCCCTAGTAGATGTCATTGCCCTAGGCTCTACAAAGCAGCAAGCTCCCCCTTGTAGATGACATTGCCCTGGTCCTACAAAGCAGTGAGATCTCTTTTGTAGATAACATTGCCCTAGGCTCTACAAAGCAGCAAGATCTCCCTTGTAGATGACATTGCCGTAGGCTCTACAAAGCAGCAAGATCTCCCTTGTAGATGACATTGACCTAGCCTCTACAAAGCATCAAGATCTCCCTTGTAGGTGACATTGCCCTAGCCTCTACAAAGCAGCAAGATCTCCCTTGTAGGTGACATTGACCTAGCCTCTACAAAGCAGCAAGATCTCCCATGTAGATGACATTGCCCTAGCCTCTACAAAGCATCAAGATCTCCCTTGTAGGTGACATTGCCCTAGCCTCTACAAAGCATCAAGATCTCCCTTGTAGGTGACATTGACCTAGCCTCTACAAAGCAGCAAGATCTCCCATGTAGATGACATTGCCCTAGGTTCTACAAAGCAGCAAGATCTCCCTTGTAGATGACATTGCCCTGGGCTCTACGAAGCAGCAAGATCTCCCTTGCAGATGACATTGACCTAGCCTCTACAAAGCAGCAAGATCTCCCTTGTAGGTGACATTGCCCTAGCTTCTACAAAGCAGCAAGATCTCCCTTATAGATGACATTACCCTAGGCTCTACAAAGCATCAAGATCTCCCTTGTAGATGACATTGCCCTAGCCTCTACAAAGCATCAAGATCTCCCTTGTAGATGACATTGCCCTAGCCTCTACAAAGCATCAAGATCTCCCTTGTAGATGGCATTGCCCTAGCCTCTACAAAGCAGCAAGATCTCCCTTGTAGATGACATTGCCCTAGCCTCTACAAAGCATCAAGATCTCCCTTGTAGATGACATTGCCCTAGCCTCTACAAAGCATCAAGATCTCCCTTGTAGATGGCATTGCCCTAGCCTCTACAAAGCAGCAAGATCTCCCTTGTAGATGACATTGCCCTAGCTTCTACGAAGCAGCAAGATCTCCCATGTAGACGACATTGCCCTAGCCTCTACAAAGCAGCAAGATCTCCCTTGTAGATGGCCTTGCCCTAGCCTCTACAAAGCAGCAAGATCTCCCTTGTAGGTGACATTGCCCTAGCCTCTACAAAGCAGCAAAATCTCCCTTGTAGATGGCATTGCCCTAGCCTCTACAAAGCAGCAAGATCTCCCTTGTAGGTGACATTGCCCAAGCCCCAACAAAGCAGCAAGATCTCCCTTGTAGATGACATTGCCCTAGCCTCTACAAAGCAGCAAGAACTCTCTTTTAGATGGCATTGTCCTAGCCTCTACAAAGCAGCAAGATCTCCCTTTTAGATGACATTGCCCCAGCCTCTACAAAGCAGCAAGATCTCCCTTATAGATGACATTGCCCCCAGCCTCTACAAAGCAGCAAGATCTCCCTTGTAGGTAACATTGCCCTCACCTCTACAGCCCAGTAAGATCTGTTCATGAATGTTTCAGAGATTATGAACCCTGGTGTGGGGTGCTACATTGCTATTGGACTGGTCCACCGACGTTACCGAATGAACCGACAACCAGGCTGGGATCCCTCCTCCATCGCCTTCCATGCTGATGATGGAGGGTGAGAATATCTTTATCTGTTTTCTGATATTATCTACCTGAACACTTGTCTGTTTATAGTTTTATTTAGTTTCCTTCACTGTGAAAAATGGAAATCTGACAACTGGTAGTTGAGACCACATACTTTGTGAACCCCTCTACCATGGCTGAATCTATGAATGCATAATGCCCGTTAGAAAGTGGTTTAGCTGAAATTAAATAGATAAAATCCATAGTTTTGTGTCGTTTTTCTTCCCAGTGGTCTTTCCAAGTGCTGTCTGTAGGTGTTATCTCCCTTGACAAGCACGGGATCCACATAGTTGTTCCTGTGTCATGTGTTTATGTGTTCCCTGATAAAATTTAAGTCGTAATATCAATCTCAACTCCCTGGGGATCATACAACTCTTGCAGCCACTAGGCGCACTGAGTTAGTGTGGCTCTTCGATCCTTACGAGGTACCCATTCACAGCTGGGTGGACTGGGACACATAGTCACAGTACTTTGTCCAAGTTTACTGCACGTTGCTGTACCCGCAACTGGGTGTTTGCACGTATTCATGTGGCCACCATCTGGTCAAATACCAATGGATTCGTGGGTTATTTTAAGTGCACAGGGTTGTGTACTGTACACTAGGGGTTGTGACAACACTGAAAGAGTCTGCACACAAAGCTGACTCCAAGGTTTTAACACCCTGGTCACAGGGCTCGATCCCGTCACCTCAAGCTCGCTGGATCACTAGCCTGGTGCTTTAGCCAGTTCGCCACAACCACGCCTACATCACTGAGGCCAGACATGTCACTATGATATGGAATACCATGAGAGATGAAGAAACAGTCATCACTGAGGCCAGACATGTCACTATGATATGGAATACCATGAGAGATGAAGAAAGAGTCATCACTGAGGCCAGACATGTATTGTGACAATGATGTGGAATACCATGAGAGATGAAGAAACAGTCATCACTGAGGCAAGACATGTATTGTGACAATATATGGAATACCACGAGAGATGAAGAAACAGTCATCACTGAGGCCAGACATGTATTGTGACAATGATATGGAATACCATGAGAGATGAAGAAACAGTCATCACTGAGGCCAGACATGTCACTATGATATGGAATACCATGAGAGATGAAGAAACAGTCATCACTGAGGCCAGACATGTGTTGTGACTATGATATGGAATACCATGAGAGATGAAGAAACAGTCATCACTGAGGCCAGACATGTATTGTGACTATGATATGGAATACCGTGAGAGATGAAGAAAGAGTCATCACTGAGGCCAGACATGTGACTATGATATGGAATACCATGAGAGATGAAGAAAGAGTCATCACTGAGGCCAGACATGTCACTATGATATGGAATACCATGAGAGATGAAGAAACAGTCATCACTGAGGCCAGACATGTCACTATGATATGGAATACCATGAGAGATGAAGAAACAGTCATCACTGAGGCCAGACATGTCACTATGATATGGAATACCATGAGAGATGAAGAAAGAGTCATCACTGAGGCCAGACATGTATTGTGACTATGATATGGAATACCATGAGAGATGAAGAAACAGTCATCACTGAGGCCAGACATGTATTGTGACAATGATATGGAATACCATGAGAGATGAAGAAACAGTCATCACTGAGGCCAGACATGTGTTGTGACTATGATATGGAATACCATGAGAGATGAAGAAACAGTCATCACTGAGACCAGACATGTATTGTGACTATGATATGGAATACCATGAGAGATGAAGAAACAGTCATCACTGAGGCCAGACATGTATTGTGACTATGATATGGAATACCATGAGAGATGAAGAAACAGTCATCACTGAGGCCAGACATGTCACTATGATATGGAATACCATGAGATATGAAGGAAGAGTCATCACTGAGGCCAGACATGTGTTGTGACTATGATATGGAATACCATGAGAGATGAAGGAAGAGTCATCACTGAGGCCAGACGTGTGTTGTGACAATGATATGGAATACCATGACAGATGAAGAAACAGTCATCACTGAGGCCAGACGTGTGTTGTGACTATGATATGGAATACCATGAGAAATGAAGAAAGAGTCATCACTGAGGCCAGACATGTCACTATGATATGGAATACCATGAGAGATGAAGGAAGAGTCATCACTGAGGCCAGACATGTCACTATGATATGGAATACCATGAGAGATGAAGGAAGAGTCATCACTGAGGCCAGACATGTGTTGGGACTATGATATGGAATACCATGAGAGATGAAGAAAGAGTCATCACTGAGGCCAGACGTGTGTTGTGACTATGATATGGAATACCATGAGAGATGAAGAAAGAGTCATCACTGAGGCCAGACATGTGTTGTGACTATGATATGGAATACCATGAGAGATGAAGAAACACAGTCATCACTGAGGCCAGGCGTGTGTTGTGACTATGATATGGAATACCATGAGATGAAGAAAGAGTCATCACTGAGGCCAGACATGTGTTGTGACTATGATATGGAATACCATGAGAGATGAAGAAAGAGTCATCACTGAGGCCAGACATGTGTTGTGACTATGATATGGAATACCATGAGAGATGAAGAAAGAGTCGTCACTGAGGCCAGACGTGTGTTGTGACTATGATATGGAATACCATGAGAGATGAAGAAAGAGTCATCACTGAGGCCAGACGTGTGTTGTGACTATGATATGGAATACCATGAGAGATGAAGAAAGAGTCATCACTGAGGCCAGACATGTGTTGTGACTATGATATGGAATACCATGAGAGATGAAGAAAGAGTCATCACTGAGGGTCAGTTTACATTGAACATGGAATCTGAGGTTGATAGTTGTGATCCTGGAAGCTTGTTTTTGCAGCGTATAGTTGAATCTAACACTGACCAAATAACTGAAAACAAGTTACGTCCAATCACAGATTATGACTTGTTCTTCAAGGAGTTTTTGTTTTTGTTTTTGTTTGTTTGTTTGTTTTTTTATTCTATTTCAGTTCTCAAATAAATTACATATGACGTAAAAGGCAATCTATATGACATCATTGGGGTGATGCAGGATTAAAACAGAAATAGATGCATAAAATATTGTTAAAGTTTCTGTAGAGGGTAGAGAAGATTAAAGGAATAAGGTTTAATAGTTGTGATTGTAGTGAGTGGAGTAGTATAGGGAATGGGGGTTCTGGACCAAGTCCAACAAAAGCCTCTGCAAAGCCTTATTTGTGAAATAAGGCTTTGGCCGGACCCTTGATCCAGCTACCATTACCCCTACTGCTTTCCCGATCTTATAAAAAGTTCAGACGCTAGCGGGATACGAACTCCACATGTATACCTCACAGCCTCACTACTCAACCGACTGAGCTACCGGGGACGTGGTTGAAGTGTGTCGGTTTAACGGGTCTATCCTGAGATAGCGAACTAGCACTTTCCTGATCATGTGACATGCCGTGTTGACAGGATACTATATTGGGATTACTTGATAAGTGTTAAATATTTTGCTTGGGGGGTAACATTGTGCCGTACGGCACGATCAATAATTCCGCTCTAACAAACCCTCTACCTGGCCCATCCCTCAAGTAGTACAAGTTAGGCTCGTCGGCTTTCATGTCCACTTTATCTATGTTGTAAGTTTTGACTGACCATATAGGATCGGTGGCTCGCTTACGGCTATCACCCTCGTGTTCCCCCGGCTGGTATAGATACCTCACTAGGGCCCTATCTGGTATCTGTTTCTCTTTCCCACGCAATGGAGCAGCCGACTCTGCCACTATTGATTTTAGTTTGATAGCGTCTGCCGGTTTCTTGCCGGTGAGACGGGTGGCTTCATGGATGATTGCCGACACCACCTTAGGTAACCTCGCGACCCATTCAGTTGATCGCTTCCCCGGGTTGGCCATCTCCCTCGCATACTGATGGCCGAATAAGCGCTCAGCCAAAGTCCTATTGAATCTCTCAACTATGGCTTGGCTGCGATGGGCTCCTGCCGTGCCACGCCTGACCTTTGTATCGTGTTTGTCTAACAGGTGTGACACGACACCCATGAACTCCCGCCCGGGGTCAACTTGCAGCTCTGTTGGCCACGCCAGCGGACTGCGTTTGTATATACGCTCGAATCCGTGGGCTACCTGGACCGAGTCTTTCGCGGTCAAGGGTTCGGCTTCCTTGTAGCGACTGGCCACATCCACGACGGTTAAGGCATACTTGTACGGCATACTTGTACCTCTTGTCGTGGGGTAGGAACAGTAGGTTTGCCTGGTGAACGCTATTGGGTATGTTAATACCAAACTTCCTTCTAGGCAAGTAGCGTGGTGGCGGCAAATAGATCTGCCAAAGTGCTTGTTTTTCAAGCCACGCTTTGGCCTCCTCCGGGGATACTCGCGCCATTTTAGCCAGCTTATGTACAGCGCTAGCTCCTTTCCAGTACCCACGCGGGCTGTAGTAAATAGCCTCAAACTTTCTCTGGTTCCGTGACATATATATATCTATGTTCTTGGTTCAATTTTCTCATGCCCGTGACGGCGCATGCGTGTTTATCCCATCAATAGCTATCCAACGCTTAGTGTCCATCGGCGACAGGACGTCTTGTTTATAGTCAGTCCGTGATATCCTATGCCCATCACTTCTAAGTGTGTTCATTTTATGTCTAAAGGTACTGGTCTTGAACAGGGCTTCCTTTGAATCTGGCGTGTTTGATGTGTTGTTTCACCACGCACTTCTTAACACCCTTAGCCTTCCCGGATCTCACCATTGTCGGCCTTCAGGATGGAGTACATCTTAGGCCTCAAACCTATGTACTCGGCTATGGGCGTGCCAGCACACTCGTCCTTCATCTTACCTAGGACCTTTTATTTACCGTGCTGTGTATGGCATGGTCCTTGGGGTAGTCACTGGTGTCGCATAAATCGGCGTTTTTTCATGTCATCGTACACGTCCTCGGTTCGAATCTCCATCAGCAGGGAATCCGTGTCAGTGTACAGCACTTCACACCTGTCGTCATTACTGTTTCTTA